GTAATTGCTTACTGCTTTAAAACAGAATTTTGAAACTAAGATAGGGGTACATTCAAAAGTTCATGAAGACAATGTTCTACATCTGACTTTGGTGAGTGGCAACTGGGATCCTAAAAGCTCATAAGTGCACTATTCACAACAGCAAAGAAATGGAGACAGCCTAAAGGTCCCTCAGCAGAAGAATGGTTATTGGTGCATACACACAATGGAATATCACACAATGTCGAAGAAAATCGAATCTGCAAAATACTTGACAACATGGATGAATCTGAAGGACATTCTGAGTGAAATCAGTGGATCACAAAAGAGCAAATACTGTATGAGACCAATGCTGTAAAAAATTAAGAAAAGATCTCCTTGCTAAATGAAACATTCTATCATGGTTACCAGGGATTGGGGTGTGCAGTGGAGGGGAGAGAATTATTCACAGGCTACAAGGTAGACATGTTAACACAGGTGACAGGACGGGCAATATATATATACATATATATATATATATATATATATATACATACATATAACAAGAGGGATGAGGCAAAGGAAATATGAAGGAAGCAGGAGACACAGGGAGGAGTGCAAGAGTTAAAGGAAATAGAGGTAAAATTGTTAGCTGATGGTACATGGAGGGGTTGCAATCATTGTAATGAAGCAAAGTCTATCATTTGTTGAATGTAAAACTGATGATCTGCTCTGCAAACCTTCACTCAATTCACAATAAAAAGTTTAAAAAAAAAAAAAAAGGTTCATGAGTAGCCATCTAAGGTGCAACTACTGTTCTCAATATATGCAATGGAAAGAAGAGTGACGAAAACTAAAGATATTTGGAAGCAATTAATCCAGTGGACTAATGGAACATGTGAACATCAGTCTCCACCACCACCAACTGTTCTGAAAGGGGTTGGAGTAGAAGATCCTGGGTAGAGTGGAAGAAGATGTGAAATGAAACTCAAAATTATAAAATAGGCCAGGCTTACTTTTCAGAAAGAGACTGGTGGAACCTGAAACTATGGCCTTTGGTCATCCTTCAGCTGTGGACTTGAACTCACCCTCCTAGCTCAATTTTCAGCCAAGTAGTAAATACTCAATAGTAAGACTGAGGTCTGCACATTATGAAATGGTCAACCATTCAAGATCAAAAAGTCAGCACTTGTCTAAGGACAAAACTCAGAAGGGTTGGAAAAGGAGGAGGAATGGGAAGGGAACAAGACATCTCAAGGAGGAAGTGGGATGATGGGATACACTGAGAGATTGCAGTCACTGAAATGAAATGAAGTGTATGGTTTGTTGAATATAAAACTGATGATTTGCTCTGTAAACCGTCATTCAATTCACAATAAAAAGTTTACCAAAAAAATGTTTGTAGAACAATGGAATGAAACGTAATGAAAATTTCCCACAAAATCTTTAAAGGCTCCTTATATGCTCCCCAATGCCTAAACAATTTGTGAGAGTACATTGTTGTTGTTGTGTGCCATAAACTCGCCTCCAACTCACAGCGACCCTATGTAAGATTTCCAAGAGCAGCTTGTGGGTTGGAACTGTCAACCTTGTGATTACCAGTCCAGTGCTTATCCTACAGTGACACCCCAGGGCCCAAGAGCACAATGTTGTTGTTGTGTTGTTTAGTGTCATCAAGTCAGTTCTGACTCATAGTGACCCTGTATAGGGTTTCCAAAGCTGTAAATCTTCAAGGCAGCAGAAAGCCTCATCTTTCTACTGTTAAGAATGGGTAGTCCAGAACACTTGGTTGTGCTCATGAGGAACCTGTAAAAAAAAAAAAGAAGAAGAAGAAGAAAAAACTACCAAGAGGTAATAGTTTGAACAGAACACGGGGATACTGAGTGGTTTAAAATCAGGCAAGGTGTGCACCAGGGTTATAATCTTTCACCATATGGATTCTATCTGTATTCTGAGCAAATAATCCTATAAACTGGATTATATGAAGAAGAATGTGGTATCAGGATTGGAGGAAGACTCATTAACAACTTGAAATATGCAGAGCGTACAACCTTGCTTGTTGAAAGCAAAGAGAACTTAAAATACTTATTAATGATAGATACTTCAGTATGGATTGCACCTCAATGTAAAGAAAACAAAAATCGTCACCACTGGATCAATAAATAACATCATGATAAACAGAGAACAGATTGACGTTGTCAAACACTTCATTTTCCTCTGATCCACAATCCACACTCATGGAAGCAGCCGTCAGGAAATCAAATGGCCTATTGCATTAGGCAAATCTGCTGCACAAGACTTCTTCAAAGTGCTCAATTTGAGGACTAAGGTGCATCTGACCCAAACAATAGTATTTTCAATTGTCTCACATGCATATGTGAAAGTTGGACAATGAATAAGGAAAACCATAGAAATGCAGATGCATTTGAATTACAGTGTTTGAGAAGAATATTGACAGTACTATGGAATGACAGAAGAACAAACAAAAGTGAGTTGGAAGACGTACCGCCCGAGGATTCCTTAAGATCCAGGATGACGAGACTTCGGCTCTCATACTTTGGATTTATTATCAGGAGGGACCAGACCCTGAAAAATGACATCATGCTTGGTAAGTGGAAGGTCAGCAAAAAAGAGGAATGGGCTGGGGCGGTGGCAGCAGTAACGGGCTCAGGCTTAGTGACAGTTGTGAGGATGTGCCAGGCCGGACTGTGTTCCGCTGTGTTATTCACAGGGTTGCTATGAATTGGAATCTAACAAACAAATCCAGTAGTTTCAGGGAGTGTGGTGGCTTCATAGGATAAGCACTGGACTGTGAACCATAAAGTCAATGGCTCAAGCCCACCAGCTGCTTCACAAGAGGAAGATGAGGGTTTCTGCGCCCACAAGATTTATAGCCTTGGAAGCCCTATCCACAGTCACTATGAATCAGAACCAACTCAAAGACAGTTAACAACAACAATCCTGCATTTCAGGAATTCTGGTGGCGCTGTATGACAAACACTGAATTGCTAACTACATGGTTGGCAATTCAAACCCACCAGCCACTCCAAGAAAAGGTGAAGCTTTCTGTTCTGTAAAGTTTTTGTAGTTTTCTTTTTTAAAGTTTTTATTATTAATTGAGTGAAGGTTTCCAGGGAAGATGATCAGTTTTACACTCAACAAACCATACTTCATTTCATTGCAATAATTACAATCCCCTCCATGTACCACCAGTTAACAGCATTTACCTTTATTCCTCTCTCTCTCTCTTTTGATGTACATACAAAACATATATGTTCATCTAAATGGTCAAAGGGTACTGTTCTGTAAAGATGTACAGCTTCAGAAACCCCATGTAGCACACCAGGTATCCGAGCTGTATCGAAGGTAGTGGGCTTGGCTGTGGTTTGATTTGGGGATGCTGCAGGTTACATGTTGGGCTGCTAATCACAAGGGCAGAGGCTCAAAGGCACCAGCTGCTCTTCCTCGGGAGGAAGATGAGGCTGTCTGCTCCTATGGAGATTTACAGTCTTGGGAATCCTGACAACCCATACACAGTGTTGTTCTAAGTTGTAATCGATTCAATGGTAGTAGGTTAGAGATTGGTTTACCCAGTCCTTTGGTGGGAGTTACAAAAACTATGGCTAAAAGGGCAATATTAAGTAATTCACTACCCCACACACCTCTCTCCCAGACATACTGCAAGAATTGAAGAAGCTATAGATCCAGGACACAGTAAAGTGTCTGGTAACCAGTAATTTGTTGTTGTTAAGTGCCATCAACTCATAGCAATCCTGCATAGGATTTCCAAAGAGCCCTTGGAAACCATTCACCTTGCAGTTAGCTGTCCAGTGTTTATCGTACAGTGGCACATCAGGACTCCATTCAGTAACTAGCAGTGATCAATTACTAGCCATTACCAGGACTATATAACAATGGTTCTACATAAGGACCATATATCAGAATCCCTTTGTGGACGATTTCAGTATAGATGCCTGAGCCTCCCTCCCTCCAGAGTCACTGAATCTCCCAAGATGACTAGCAGGTGAGACGATATGGAAGAACTAACACCCATCAGCAGGAATTACAGCTCTTACCTAGTACCAAGTGCACGGATGGCTCACAGGAGACAAACAGCAACAAAACAGGGATGGAGTTTTCTTCCTGGAAGAGGTCTTTGGTCCAGACTGAACAGGAAAGGTGTAAGCAGTTAACCAAGTCTGTTGCCTGGACAGAAGGAGCCATTTTGGTCCTGGACCATCTCTTTTTTATACCTCATTCATTACAAAGCTGACATGACACTTTCTAGCAAGCTGTGTTCCATAAATTCATAAACTCCAAGCTTATTTACAATCAGCAACCTAGACAGCCCTGGTCCATCCTGCTGAAACCATTCCACACAAAAGGGCTCTCCAGCTGGCAGACACCACTGCCCCCGCCCCTGCCCCTACCTTCCAGGAAGAGCTGGCTGCTAACCTTCCCAGCCGGTGACGAAACTTCCTTCTCAAAGAGGTTACAGTCCCCAGGGTCTAGAGTCCCTGGGTGGCACACATGGTTAAGTGCTTGGCTACTAACCTCAACATTTGAATCCACTTAAAGGCACCTCAGAAGGCAGCCCTGGCAAACTACTGAACAACCACAAACACTGCGATCTCTGTGGAGCACAGTTCTACTCTGACACACATGGAGCACCCATGAGTCAGAATCAACTCCAGGCAACCGGTGCTGCTGGAAACTGCTGAAGTACATTTTCCCCAGTTCCGGTCAAGCATTTCATCATCCATTTGAATAAAAGCCCTTTTGGTCAAAGTACAGTTTTAAGCTCTAAGTAGGTCTTTAAATAGCTTTAAACTGCACTCCAGTTTTTGGCCCTCTGTTGTATTTCATTTGATGAAAGAGAAGATTGAAGTCATATGACTATTTGGGGTTTGGGGTTATGATCAAACAATACAGGTAGACCTCCACGTGTCCACAACTCAAGACTGCTGAGCCGTGCTTCCACGTGGTGTGCTGTAGAACATGTGTCCTCATGCAAGCCGTGTGTCAAATCCATGTTTTTGCAGATACTCCATAGACAGAAACAGTGACCCTGGAAGGTTCTTCTACGTTGACATTACAACAGGTGCCCTAATGACTGCAAGACCTCTGGACCGGGAAGAATTTTCCTGGCATAATATGACTGTCCTTGCTATGGAGATGAGTAAGTACCACAATACACCAGGCTCCACAGGGTGACAAAATGTAGATTGTGGTGAGAGTCTCTAAAATCTGTTGGATCAACAAGTATATTCTTTAGGGGAGAGGATGAAAACAAGGGTTTGTGCAACTATATGAAGGCGTTCAGTTCCAGTACTTACTGAACATCCCCCGTAGGCCTGTGCTGGAGACTAAAACAAGGAAAAGAAGTCTGGCAGAAGTATCCTTAACCCAAAGGGTAGACTTTGCTATGAGGAAAGGGGAAGAGTGAGTCCTGAAAAGTCTGAGAGGCATCAGTAAGATTGGTGTACAACTAGTATACCAATATGAAGGGGCTTCAAAATGCTCACTGGAAAATGGAATTAAAAGAAAAGAAAATTTCCCACCAACTTTCTGAAGCACCCTAGTATTGTTACTGGATAAAAGCAAGTATTTATAACATCTCGCCCTTTATTACGTACTCACAGCCATGCCTGTAAGAATTTGAGACACCTTACAATGAAAGACTGATGTATTAACCAAGTAAACTTATCAATGGAATGGGAAATTAAGAAAAAACTAATTAAATTTAGCTGGGTTTTTTTTTTCCCTAAAAATATTTAGTGATCATAAAGGAATAGGAAATGGACAAATCAACCATTTAGATGAGGGATTAGGTACAAACACTCGAGAGAAAAATTGGACAATGTGTATAAGATTCTCCAAAACATTTATATAATTTTCACAGTAATTCTTCTAGGAACTATCTTAAAGAAATAATCATAGGTTATCAAGAAAACTTTCTCTACCAAAATGCTCACTGCACTGTTAAATTAACTATAAGGAGAAACTAGGAATTAACAAAATGTTCAATAATAAGAATTGATTAATTATAGCATAGTCATAGAACACCTGTGCTTTCAAAGGAGATTCACTGACTCAGGATAATGTTGTAAAATATTAAAGTGCAATATCCAACGTTTATTTTCTGAACTCTGTGTGTGTATCTCCATTGTTTCTTGGGCACATACGTGTGATGGAACATGTGCCATGTGAGGCTTCTCTGGGATTCCCCGGAGTCCTTCTGTGAGCAGGCACCATTGGTACAGTGAGGCAGGAACAGATTTCAGTTTTGGTGGCATTTTCTGATAACTAAAAGGAGCTCTGGTAGCGTAGTGGTTACGAATCGGGCTGCGAACCTTAAGGCCAGCAGTTCGAAACTACCAGCCGCTCCACGGGAGAAAGATGAGGCGTTCTGCTCCCGTAAAGATTTACAGCCTCGGAAACCCTGTACAGGGTCGCTATGGGTCGGACCCGACTCGATGGCACTTAACAACAACAACAACAAAAGAGATGGAAGTAATCACGGGAACTTGCATCACAGTACAGATATTTTTTAAAAATGAAAGAAAACTGAAGCATCCTGGGAGGGAACTAGGAAAAACATTTATAGAAAACAAATGATACACCTTGAATTTCGGTGTGTCTTCTGGAGGTAGTGAGCCAACCAGGAAAAGCCTTAGGAGATGCACTACCTAGGCTGTGAAAATGTCTTCACATGGCAGTGCCACGCAACGACCCCTGACCAAGAAGACCATGTCAGCAAGGCGGACTGAGGCCAGGGAGTTGGTGTGTTGGATCCTCCAATACTCACTCAGTTCCTGAGCGGAAGTGAATGTGTGGTGTTACTTGTATTTCACTGACTAGCTTGAAATCTTTTGAAATATAATTCAAAGAACTGATTTAGCAGCAATAAAGCTGGGCAGTGCCACGCAGTATGTGCCTCAGTTTACAAATGGGCTGTTTTAAAACCCAGAATGCCACCTTTCATTCTGGAACCAAGTGATGGAGATTCTGCATTTCTTAGATTCCGTTTGTGACACTGCTCTCCTCCTCATCATACCCCTGATCTCCCACACATTCTCCAACACAGCCTCCTGGTTGCTCTCCAAGCTTGGAATAGGCATATGCTTTCTTGGTTGGGTTACCTTTCCCATGACTTCAGCCAGGCCTTGAAAGCGAACCAGTTTCAATGGTTGTAAAGGGTCACTGTGCCAACAACCCTGAGCCCTCACTCTGCTTGTCCTGTGTTCTCTCCTCTCTCTCCAGACAATCCCTCCCAAGTTGGGAGTGTTCCGGTCACAATCAAAGTCTTAGATGTGAATGACAACGCTCCTGAGTTTCCCAGGTTCTATGAAGCTTTTGTCTGTGAAAATGCCAAAGCAGGGCAGGTAAGGCACCTGTGAGGTGGACACCTTGCTAACCCCGACACCACCAAGTGTTCCAAATAATAAGCTGGTCACCAGACACTTCAACCGTTTACAAAACAGAAACCAACTTCTGTTGCTCAGGTTTATTTGTTAAGAGTGCTATTTGGAGCCTAGGTTGTATATGTAAACAAGACGTTGATGGTGGCTGGATTCATGGAGGCCCCACCTTGAAACCAAGTCTGTGGTACATGTGTGCTCTGGGCTCTATAAGTGAGGCGGTGCAGATGAGGAGGAGGGGAAAGATCTCTTTTCCTGAGTTTAGCCCTAATCCCAGAAGACATCTTGCAGTGGGGACCATTCATTCACGTCCCTTTCATAGCTTCTAGCCACAAGTACCTTGTTTAGGGGCTGCCTGTCCTATTTGCAAAACGCTCTGGTGTTTTAAAAACTTTGCCCACCTCCCTCTCCCACACCGTGTCCTTAGTGCGACTCATGTGGGATAAATTATGGGAGAGAAGAAATCTGAAGGAACAAATTCCTACTTACTTGAAAGAACTTTTGTCCCATAGCCTTCCGTTCTGTTCATTTTAAGTGTGTGCTAAGGATTGAGTTGTGACCCCAAGAAATGTGTGCTGTAAACCCTAATTCCTACACCTATGACCATCATTCCAGCTGGGAATGAGTTTTGTTATGTTAGTTATGTGGCGGTCTTACTGAAATCAGTCTCTTTTGAGATATAAAAAGAGCAGCTTTGACTAAGCAAGGAGGTAAGCAGACACCACACCACAGGAGATCTCCAAGGAGCCAGGAAACAGAAGCTGACAAGAGACAAGGCCCTTGTCCGGAGCCCACTCACAGAAAGCCTTCCCTCAGAGTTGGCGCTCTGGGTTCAGACGTCTAGTCTGCTAACCTGTGAGGAGATGCTTTTCCATCTGTTAAAGCCACCCACTGTGGTACTGGTTATAGCACAAGACAACTAAGGCTGGGTGGTTGGTCATTGGTAAGTGTTGTCGAGTCAGTTCTGACTCATAGTGACCCTGTATAAGGGTTTCTTAGGAGCAGCTGGTGGGTAGGTTTTAACCACTCACCTTGTAGTTGGCAGTCCAGTGCTTATCCTACAGTGCCATACTAAAGCAGTATACTTTGAATACATGAAGATTCAGTGGATGAAACTCCAAGCTGAGAAACATCTGGAACTCTGAGCAGCCATATGGGAATGTGGGTTTCAGGCAATATTGCCCACCACACACACTATGCCTTCTGTGATACCTCCAAGCATAGGGCCATCTGCTCCTTTCTGTTCCTGTCCTGTATCCCTCCTCTACTGTGACCCAATAGATTCCCCAACAGCCCAGAGACTATATTATGGTCTTGTAGATGCGGATAGTGGTGAGATGGATCGGGGGCACTTTAACGGAAAGGATCTCCTCTGAGCTGTGGTAAGGCAAGGGCCCAGGCTTTGGTCATCAGGCCTTCCAACTTGAATGTGGCTTTTGCCTCAGCTCTCTCATGCACCCAGAGTATCATCTCCAACTTTTTGCAATCTCTGTATCTGCATGACCAGAAGTACATTTGTTTTCTGACCTCACAGAACATTTTCTGACCTCACAGAATATTGACTCAACACATCTTCCCCAATCTCTCCAGTAAAAGCAAGAAGTGATTCCCCTCCTGCAGGAGCAAGAGGTGTCCTACAGAGATTCTAAACTAAAGTGCTCTCATCTGTCAGTTCTTGAATTATAGTACAATGGTCTCTGTTGTTGTTGTTATTAAGTGCTGTCAAGTCGGTTCCAACCCATAGCAACCCTATACAGGGTTTCCAAGGCTGTAAATCTTTACGGGAGCAGAAAACCTCATCTTTCTCTCGCGGAGCAGCTGGTAGTTTCGAACTGCTGACCATGCGGTTCGCAGTCTAATTCGTAACCACTATGCTACCAGAGCTCCTTTACATGTCTCTAGCACACCTAAAATGTATGTTCAACAAGTATAGGAAAATACAACTTCCACATTTATTGAATTTCTAGAGTAGAAATATTAGGTAGCGAATTAAAATTCCAGTAAAGACTTTACAGCATAGGAAATGGTCTGTGTTACTATCAGATGTAAAGAAGGGAAGTGTAAAAACTGCATGTACATCCTTCTAGTTGTGTCAAAGTAGGTTTTCATGTAAACAAAGATTGGGAGAGAAGGTGTTAAAAAGGGCAATAGTTGCTGTCAAAGGTGGTTGGATTACGAGTGGAGTGAGGGTTTGGGGCCTTTCTTTACCTGAATACTTTTTGTTTTCTATTAGGACAGGAAGGGTTGAGCTTTAAGCTATAATATAAAGAAGATGCTAAGCAGTACAGTAAATTCAATCACCTTCCATGCCCCATAAGGCAACATTTCCAGATTCCGTAGAGGGCTTCAGGAGAGGAGGCGTGGCTGCATTCTGGGAGGCTGACGGCACTTCTACACCCCCTGTTTGGGAGTCACGCAAACACATCCCACCATTTCCAGATCCATCTCTTAAGGGTCTCTTTATCTGTGACTCTTTAGCCCAAGAAACTGAAAATCCTACACTTTGATTTTGTCTCTGGGAGTTGTTTTCAGAAGCCCTCAGCTGAGTTAGTTCGGCTAGATTGCGGCAGATGAGGTCTCCTCGTGGTTGAGGGTCAGACGCTGTTGTCAGCTTTGCATCTGCACAAGTCAGAGCATACGCGCTTTCCTTGCAGCCAGCAGCCACGCAGCAAACCCAGAAAGACACCAGGCCACATGCTTGCTAGCAGCTGAGGGCAGGCCATGGGCTCCTGACCCAGCCAGTGAGCGGTCTTTGCTCATTCATGCTTTAAAGCCCACATGGAACCAGCCTGACCCCCTCAGTCCTCATCTCAGCCACACACAGACGAATCAGGGTCAGAAAGTGCTCATTGAGAAATGTGTTCTCTCCTATCAAGTTCAACACTAAGAAGCAAGAGGGACATGCACAGGACTTGTCCTTAGCCTGGGCCGGGTGGGATGTGAACACCAGCTGTAGGCTGCACTGTGGAGTAAGGGGCCCACCTGACCCCTCCCCTTTATTCCCTCCTCCCTTAGCTTCATCCAAGAGTCCAGGTACCAGTCCCTCAGGAGGTTGACATAAGATGTTTCCTAAGGAGCACCTGAGGCCAACACCTGGGGCGGGAAGGGGAAGAAGCCCGATGGCAGCCTAAATCCAGTCATACCACTGACCCCGTGGCATCAGTAGGGGCATGCAGGAAGTGTAGACTGTATCCCCTGGCACTGTCAGACCCCAGAGTAACTTTGTCTGCGGCAGAGGCAGCGGGTGGGCCAGTGCTGTAGGAGGGTGGGCTGCAAAGGCAGTGGCATCGCTCGGGTTGGTATCGCCTCACTCGGTGCAGTAATTCCTCACCAACCCCTCCCTTCCGTCACCTGCCAGTCAGGATGCCGGCAGGGAGCAGAGAAGAGGGGTCCCCACCTTGGCCAATGGAAGAGGAGAGGGGCAGAGGGGTGTGAGGAAGGTGACATGGTGGGTTCACCAGCTAGCCCCATCCACCAGAAGGGTGGAGCCACGAGTTACCACACTGGTGGACGCCAACCCCAGTGAGACTAGTAACAGCCTTGGAAGATTTACAGAGAGTTCTAGAACTAGCATTTTCCCGTTGAGATGGGATGGCAAGGATGTGATATGATGGCATCAATTAGTGATTGGATGTGGTTTTGCACTGAGGTGACCCCAAGCGGGATTGGCAGATGAAGCCTGGGGCAACCAGCCCTCCACTGAAGGGGGACTATCTCTAATACAAGGCCCCTTGCAGGGAGCTTCCGTCTGTGCAGCACATTGTGGGGACCACTGTGTCCCTAAAACACAGATGACAACTTACAGACTAAGGCCTCGAGCTCCCCACTGACATTCCCAGTGGCAGCAGAGTCAGGCCACAACAGCCGTCGGAGTGGCCAGCCTGTAGACCAGGGTCACAAAGGGTGGAGCAAACACTTGGACTTGTTTTATAATCAAAGATAAGGAAGGAGGTCGGCTGCCCCTGGCCAGCCTCTCCTCTCTGCATCCTGATTGGCAGGTGATGGGAGGGGGGCTGTGACAAGTTCCTGCACTGGGTGTCACTACATCTTTCCCCCATCTTCCAGTCTGCTGCTAACATTCCCAGCGTGTGCTTCACATTCTGCCTTTAATAGCTTTTCATCACCACCTCCACGACCATCCTGGTAACTTATACTTTTTAATAAGGTTTGTAAAAAAAAAAAAAAAAAAAAAGGCAAACCTTGAACCAAAGACCTCAAGAGGAAAGCACTCCAATTCTTGCTCTCTCCACTCCCCAGTTCTGCTCTGACTCTGGCCCCATCTTATGCCCCAAACCTTTACTCATTCCCGCTGCTCCTAACAACAAAATGTGTCTGCCCTGTGGCCCATTCCCTGGGGTCTGTTTTCCCTTCAGGTCACACGGCCAGTGTCCATGAGTCTCCTGGGCACTGGTCACTTGTAAATAATGGCCTGCCAGAGACATCAATTGACCCCTGATAAAGGGACCCAAATGAAAGACTATTGAGTGGGTCCCAACTCAGCCATCCTGTACAGATATGGTCACCAAGGCTTTCAGTCTTCACAGGAGCAGAAAGCCTCATCTTTCTCCCATGGGCTGGCTGGCAGGCTCGAACCACAGACCTTGTGACTCACAGTCCAGTGACTCACAGTCCAGTGTTGATAGTATGGACTTACCACACTTCCAAATGAAAGATTAAGTGAGGTGAAAGAAGAAAAAATTGGGAGACAGGCAGGAGCTGATGGTATCTCATAGTCTTACTTACAGTCTTTGATCTGGCTTTGGTGTGTAAATACAAACAAGGCTAATGTCTAAGAGAGGAGGTATTGGCCATGTGTGAGCCCTGCTTGCATAGTGGTTAAATACTCAGCTACTAACAGAAAGGGGCTGGTTCCCTGTAGGAGAAAAGATACAGTAACCTGCTTCCCTACAGATGATACCCTGGGACCCCTCTAGGGCAGTTCTCTGTCCTATACAGTTCTTGTAAGTCAGATACAACTCAGTAGCAACAGGTTTGATATCAAGGTCCTCAGGTTGTACAATAAACCACAATTAAATCCCAAGTTATGTGAGGGCACAGGAACTTCACTGGGCTCCACAATTCCCTGGGTCCTAATACTGAGCCTTTGGCTCCAGCTCACCTGATGCATGTCCCTTCCTCAGCTGATCCAGACGGTGAGTGCCATAGACCAAGATGAACCACGCCACGGGCAGCATTTCTACTACAGCCTGGCTCCAGAGGCTGCCAACAACCCCAACTTCACGGTCAGGGACAATCAAGGTAAGCAGGTGGACAGTTGACTTCCTATGCTTTCCTAGAATTTGGGTTAGACATATACAAAGTCTCGGTGTGGCCCTGTAAGGTAAGCACTGGATTGCTAACCACAAGGTCAGCAGTTCAAACCTACCAGCTATTCCTTGGAAACCCTACACAGGGTTGCTATGAGTTGGAATCAATTCAATAGCACTTAACAACAATATATGAAGTATGAATCTAGGAAAACTGGAAGTCTTCAAAAATGAAATAGAACGCAGAAAGGCTGATATCCTACACATTAGAGAGCTGAAATGGACTGGTATTGGCCACTTTGAATCAATCATATGTCTACTATGCCAAGAGGAGTCGTAGTGTGGCACTATAGGATAAGCACTGGACTATTAACCACAAGGTCAGTGGTTCAAACCCACCAGCCACTCCTCAGAAACCCTAAATGGGGTCATTATGATTGGAAACCAACTTGATGGCAGTTAATAACAACAACTATGCCAGGAATGATAAATTGAAAAGGAATGACATTTCAAGACATTTCAAGATCTATCCTGAAGTACAACACTGTCAGTGACAGATTAATATCCATATGTCTACAAAGAATACCAATTAATATAAGTGTTATTCAAATTCATGCACCAACCTCTAATGCTAAAGATTAAGAAACAGACAATTTTACCAACTTCTGAAGTCTGGAATTGATCAAACATGTTATCAAAATGTATTGATAATTTCTGTGATTGGAATGTCAAAGTCAACAAAAGGATGTAACGTTAGAAGTGCTCATTGGACTATACCGAGAAATTTGGAAGACAGCTGGCCAACTGACAGGCAGAGATCATATCTGTGCCCATTCCAAAGAAAAGTGATGCAGTAAACAGAACATATGAATTATCCAACAATAACATTAATATTACATGCATGTAAAGTTTTGCTGGAGACAGCTAAAAAATGATTATAGTACTCCATTGTAAAAAAGAAATGTTGTCCATACCAACAAACACTGAAATAATCCAATCGGTACTAATTGTCGCAAGAGTGAGGTTTTCTTTATTCAATTTTGCAAAATCAGGCTCCCAACCCAGTAGACATGGGCAGACATGCCGTATGGCCAGCCCGCAAATAGTGGTAGTCTTGAAAAAGCCCCTCTTCCAGTTTTACAATTTTACCAGAACTTCCTGTTTTCCCTCTCCCCAGAGATGCCAAAATGGCCCACCCATGGTCTTAATGACTGTATTCTTATTTAAAGTTCCTAGGCTTAGAACAGATTTCTTTCCTCCCTTCCCCCAACTCATCCTGCTTAGATATCCCTGGATGTAAATTAACAATCTATGTCTGCCTGGTCTAGCAATCTCATGAGCCCTTAGTATTCTTAAAGATGGACCACATTGAGAACTTCTCACACCATCAATAAGAAATTGCCAGAAATTCAAGCTGACTCAAAAGAGTTCACAGAACAAGGGATATCATTGTTGATGTCATATGGCTCTTGGTAGAAAGCAGAAAATACCAGAAAGATGTTTACCTATGTTTTAATGACTATGCAAAGGCATTCAACTGGGTGGATCATAACAAAGTATGAATAACTAACATTGGGAAGAATAGGAATTTCATAAGACTTGTGTGGTGTGGCACTGTGGGTTAATGCGCCAAACTGCAAAGCCATATGAACTACAAGGTTCGAGCTCACCAGCTGCTCCTCAGAAACCATATATAGGGTCGCTATGGGTCAGAATCACCTCAATGGCACTCAACAACAATTGTGCAGAACCAGGACATAGATGGAGAGGTAGTCACTCAACCAGAACAAGGGGATACTGACTGTGTTCCTTCACCATTCTCACTGAGGCTGTATGATGAGCTAATAATCTGAGAAGCTGGATGATGTGAGGAAGAATGTGGTATCAGGATTAGAAGGGTTATTAACCTGTGACATGTGGATGATACAACCTTGCTTGCTGGAAATGAAGGGAATGTGAAGCTCTTACTGATAAGATCAAAGACTACACCCACCAATATGGATTACAACTCAATGTAAAGAAAGCAAAAATCCTCACAATTGGACCAATAAGCAATATCATGATAAACAGACAAAGCATTGAAGTCTAGGGTTTTCATTTTACTTGGATCCCCATCAGCACCCATGGAAGCAACAGTCAAGAAATCAAATGGTGTGTTCCATTGGGCAATTCTGCTGCAAAAGATCTCTTTAACGTATTAAGCATCAAAATATCACTTTGAGGACTAAGGTGCACCTGACCCAAGCCATAGTATTCTCAGCCACTTCATTTGGTGGCTGGACAGTGAATAAGGAAGACTGAGACAGAATTGATGCCTTTGAATTACGGTGTTTACAAAGAATATTGGGTATACCATGGACTGCAAGAAGAACCAACAAATTTGTCTTGGAAAAAGCATAACTGGAAAGCTCCACAGACACAAGGCTGACAAAACTTCATCTCAAGCACTTTGGACATGTTATCAGGAGGAACCAGCCCCTAGGAAAGGGCATTATGTGTGGTCAACTGGAGGGTCAGGGACAAAGAGGAAAACCTTCAACAAGATGGATTGGCACAGTGGCTGCAACAAAGGGCACAAACATAGGAACAAGTGTGCTGATAACCCAGGACCAGGCAGTGTTTTGTTCTGTTGCACAGAGGGTCTCTATGAGTCAGAACTGACTTGATGGCACCTAACAACAATCATGTCAGCATGTCAAAAGTTGCCTGTTCTTTAAACATGGTGGACATTAATGCTGGTTCCAAATGTTTTGTGCTAGAGCATCAAAGGAAGACTGGCCTCTGTTGACTCTAAGATGTCCCCTGGGCAGTCAGTGAGGTGCCAAGTGTTTGTGGCAGACCCTGCTGTGAGGCCTTAGAGGCCACACCCTCTGTGCATTTCCAGAGACGATGCAATGCTTCGATGTTCTGTAACCATGGAAGAATTTCAGAAAGATCATGGAAAATGGCCTACACAGGGATAGTAATGCAGAGCAGACATTCCTGAAAGAAAAACAATAAAACAACCTCTCAGAACAGGGAGACAAAGGCAGAATAAGTACTAGAGTTAAAACCCTTTGCTCTGACTCATAGTGACCCTCACAGTGACCAGTAGAACTACCCCATAGGATTTCCTAAGCTGTACTCCTTACAGAAGCTATCTGGCACATATTTCGCCTGATGAGTGGCTGGTGGGTTCAAACACCAACTGAGTATTTTAATAACTGCGCCACCAGGGCCCCTCAGTACTAGAGCTACAAAGGGACCTGTTTCAGAACTGAAGGAACTTTGTTTGGAATCATTTAGAAAGGTGTAATGACAGGGATGGGGGGGTAAGGGGGGTGGAGTCTTTATGCCAAAAAGCACTACCACTGCAGCTTTGCTGGATGGGATTTCTAGATCTTTCTCCTCCACTAAGCACTCCGATCATACAAAGCGGTGTGCAGACCTAGCAGGTACTTCTTTGGGCTCAGATGGGAAAAGCAAGGACTTTTGTTCTCAAGCCAGACAATTTGCTACAAAGAAAATCAGAGCAACTGAAACCTAATTTAAATCTGTCAAGAGCACCCCTTCGGCTGCTAATTCTGCTTCCAACTAGCTGGCTGACCTTGGGGAGGACGTCCCTTCTCTGGGCTGCAGTCGCCTCATTCTCGTTCCAATTTGGAAATGTTAATTGTCACTTTATAACAAGCTAAACAGAGGGCAACCAAAAGTCATGATTAGGCATGCCTGATCTTACTCTCAAACATCAATTATTCAAAACTTAGAGCATTTCTAAAGTAATTGTACCCCACGCCAGTTTCTTTCACTGTAAAACCTGAGTATCTCAAAATGATTTTCTTCTACATGAAGGGGTTCTGTCAAAGTCTGCACACACACACACACACACACATACATACACACACAAACCAACACGCTGCCGGACGAACTGATTCTATCCCATAGCGCCCCTACAGGACAGAATGGAACTGCCCCCATAGTTTCCACAGCTATAAATCTTTACAGAAGCAGATTGATTTCTCCCTTGAGCAGCTGGCGAGTTCCCCAACATTTTGGCTAGCAGTCAAGTGCTTTAACCACTGCACTACAAGGGCTCTGCTGTAGCCCTCAACAGGTTATCCTAAAACCCCTAAGAGAATTCTAGAAGGAAGAGCAACCTAAATTATAAAACGAGAAAAAAAGCACAATTCAATTTTCACCAGGTCACCATGTAGATGTATTCATTTCTCAGCTTCCCGGGGAAGCCCTGTGTGTAGAAAGTGGTTTTGCCTCCTCAGCTGGTTTTACTAAGAAAATCCTGGGGACTGGAGGAAACAGTGTATGTTTCTTCTGACTTCCAACTGCATGCCACTCTCTGCCTTTGCTCTGACATTCACCACAGACACAGTATGCAGCAATACTTATGCTGCCATTTTCTTAAAGATGATTTCAGGTGCCAGGACATGGAGTCTTAAAAAGATGCGTCACTGGAACATGACAAGCACAAATAGAAATGCTGCATCTCAGAGGAGACTTCCAGCAAGATGGTGGAAAGGTGGATAGGATATTGTTGTTATGTGCCACTGAGTTGGTCCCAACTCACAGCAACCCTGTAAAGGGTTTCCGAGGAGCGGCTGGTAAATTTGACCTGACAATCTCGCAGTCCAGGGCATTATACAATAGCACCACACCAGGACTCCTGACACAATATACAAACACACTAAAACAAAGATCTGTGCCACCAAATGAAACACAGAGGGCAAGTCTGGAACCCTGAGCTGCAAAAGCAAGGTTAGAGAAGAGCACCAGATAAACTGGAAGGAGAAGCTGAGCAGGGGGGGTGAAAGGAGACTGGCTAGTGATTGGACAGCCTACGAGATGCCACCTGACCATCGTGAAGGGAGCAGCGTTAGAGAGACAGATGGTGGCCCGATGGCACAGATTCACAGGGGTGATGGAAAAGGTGGGACTCTTTCTTGCTCACCACACTCCCCTGGATAACATGGGAGGCTGGCCCCACCCTCTTCTTCCCCCAGCACAGACCTTGCTCTCTGGGAGTACAGAGCCAGGCAGTGTGAGCTACCGTGAGGTGATACCTACTGTGCCATGTTGGTGCCTGGATTCAGCCAGGGTCTGCTTCAGATCTGCCAAACCCACAGAGCCTCTAGGCCCGAACTAGATGAGCAGGAACTTCATACTCAGTCACGCTACCCCCAGATGGCCTCTGGTTCTGAAAGATACTGAAAGAAGCAATCTGAATGGCCTCCATGAACTACTTTCTGATTGGGTTTCCTAGACCTAGCCATCACCCAGGACTACAGGAGTTCCATCTAGGGCTGGGAACTCAGCCTTCTCATCCCTCCTCCACCCAGAGCTCATGAGTTCTGGTAGGAGCCGCCAGAGTTTTCTCTTCTTGGGATCCAACAAATACACTGGATTTTGTTTCTTCTTCCTTTCATTGCTTTTGTTTTTTGTTTAGTTTATTCTTTCTTCTCCTTCTCCTCTTTCTTTCCTTTGACTTTTATACTTTGCATCTTTACTTTTTGGGTTTTTTTCCTACTTTTTTTAGGTTTCTCATTTCTACCCAATTATCTTTGTTCATTTTTAGTTCTTGATTTTTTTTTTTTACTACTTTCTAGTTTCTTTTCATTTTCCTTCTCTTTTTTTTAGTGTTTATGCCTCTTCCTTTTATTTTCCCTTATTTTTCTCTTGTACAGTTTTATTTCTCTGCTCCTCTTTTCTCTTTTATGTTATATTTTTTTCTTGCTGCTGTCCACTTTTGTTTCTTTCTTCTCCTTTATTACATTCTGTTTTTGCTGTTGTTTGCTTGTTTGTTCTGTTTTGTTTTCCTGGGTGTGTTTTTTTCATATTGCCCACCCAGCAGGAAGCAGAAACTATGCCCATACAATTCAGCCACCACTGTACCCTCTGTAGCTCCACCCACTGGACATGAGCCAATCCCAGTTCCTATAGCACCTGATCCATGATAGACAGAAGCCAACACCAGCCAAACCCATCCTAAACTGAGCTGCATGAATGGCACATGGAAAAGAGTGTACACTTGTCATTCTCTAATCCTACCCAGCAAGAGACAGTTAGTGAGAGCCTAAGAACACACCAACATACAATCATCACTTAAATACAAATACACCACCACTGCAATGTCTCAGAGACAACAGAAGATTTTAGCTCATGTGAAGACAAAAGAGAGTGTAACTCACACAAATGACTAAGATGCAGAGCCAGAAAAGGTTTCTGAGGAAGAAAAGTTAATGGAAAAAAATGAGAAAGAATTCAAAAGAATGATCTTTAGGTGCCAACAGATTGACAGAAAAGCAGGGAGAACACAGAAAAAACTTTTAAGTGAATTTAGGGAAACACTGCAAAAACAAACTGATAAAATAAATGCAAATTCTCAAACAATACAAAACCAGCACTTAGAATTCCAGACGATTAACACTAAGATCTCAGATACGGACAATACATTGAGAAGACGCACAAGGGAGTAGACTTGAATTAATGTAAGCCCAAATTAGTAACACTGAAGATAAAGCTCTCAATACTAGTAAACTAGAAGAACAATCTGAAAAATTAATGAAAAAATCGGAAGGAAAATTGAGCTTTGTATGAGATACCATGAAGAGGAATAACTTAACAGATAGTAAGAATATTCCAGAACAGGAAGAGACAATTACAAGCACATAGAAAATTGTCGAAGAGTTGCTGAAAGAAAACTTCTTGGCCATCATGAAAGCTGAGAAGATAACCATTCAAGAAGCTGAGCAAACCCCAAACAAGACAGACCAAAAAAGAAAATCAACAAGATATGTATCATAATCAAACTTTCCAAAACCAAAGACAAGGGAAAAAAATCCTGAAAGCAGCTCAGGAAAAGCGAACAGTAACCTACAAAGGAAAACCAATAAACAACTCTGATTTCTCATCAGAAACCACGCAGGCAAGAAGGAAATGGGCTGGCATATATACAAAACTGGAGTCCTGGTGTGGTGCTGTGGGGTAAAGCACTGAATCGCAAAGTCGGTTTGAACCGCAAGGTCAGTGGTTCAAACTCAACAGCCGCTCCTTGGAAACCCTACACAGGGTAGCTATGAGTTAGAAATGACTCGATAGCACTTAACAACAACAATAATAATAAAAAATTTTGAAAGAAAAAACTGCCAACCAAGAATCATATAACCAGCAAAGCTGTTCCTCATATATGATGGAAAAATTAAGTCCATTTTCGGATAAACAGAAATTAAAGGAATTTGTAATACCAGACCAACTTTACAAAGAATACTAAAGATTGTTCTTTGGACTGTGAACCAACAAGCGTAGACAATAACCTAAGATTAACATGTAAGACAACATCCCCCAGAACTCAATTCAGATATAAGAGTATCCAAAGTCAAACAAACCTACAGACTGAAAATAGGGAACCAGAGCTATCAATTTATAATGAAGTCAACTACAGAACAAAAAGAGGGAACAGGAGAGATACAGAACTTCCAAATGGAGAGGAAGTCAAGTAAATTTCAAAATAAAATAGGCTATCTTAAATGGGGAAGAAATTAATAAATTATGGGATAACCTCAAAGAAAGTTAATACACCTTCATGTCAAAATAAAAAAGAGGATAATCAAAAAGATTTAGTAAACATTAAAACAGTAACATTGAATGGAAAAAAAAAAAATCCACAAACAAAATTAACTCAGATCAAAAATTTATATAGAGCAAAGAAACCAGTATCACCACAAAAACACACAGGAATCAATTCATTGTTGTTGTTGTTAAGTGCCGTGGAGTCAGTTCCGACCCATAGCAACCCTTTATATATCAGTAAATATACTGAATGTAAATGGATTAAATGCACCAGTCAAGAGTGTAACAGAATGCATACAAACTTTGGTACAGACACACAAGGAATACTATGCAACACTAAAGAAGAATGAAGTGAATTTGCAAAACACCTCATAACATAGATGAATCCAGAGGACATCGTACTAAGTCAAATTGGTCACAAAAAGACAAATATTGTATGCAACCACTTTGTAAAAAGTTAAGAAAAGGTTTTCTTGCTAAAAGAAACATCTATAGTAGTTAGCAGGGGTGAGAAAGAAAGGAAGATTATTCACTGGCTAGAGCTATGGTTGACATGTTAACTTGGCTAATGGAGCAGACAATATACATCAGGAGGCAGGTTGGCAGAGGAAAGATGAAGGCAGTGGCAGACAGAGGGAGGAATGCAAGAGTTAAAGTGAATAGAGGTAAATACTGTGAACTGATGGTACAATTCCCTAACTGCAATCATTGTAATGGCAAGGACTGTAGGATTTGGTGAATGTGCGACTGATGATCTGTTCTGTAAACCTTCACTCAGTTCACAATAAAATTTAAAAAAAAGATGCCTCTCTGGGAAGGCTACACTCCAGATCTCACAGGGCACTGTCACTGAGGCACATTTTAAAAGCTACAACTGACCAGCATCTGACAAGGGGATCCATTGTGAAAACCCATTCTGGTGCCCAGTACACAGGCTCCTTTTATGAACACAGCTCTCTCTTTCTCACTGCCCTCAAACTGATTTTCTCACAGTGACCCTGTGAAGAGATTCCAAGGCTGTACACCCCTCTGAAGCAGGAAGCCTGGTGGGTCTGAACTTCCAACCTTGTGGCTAGCAGTCCAGTGCTTATCCTATAGCATCACCAGGAGTCTTTATGAACACAGCAGGGCTATCTCACTGAAACCTTTTTCACTTTTAATCCCTAAAGCATCATGAACAGAATTGTGTTTTTGTAGCACTTTACAGTTTCAAAAGCATATTTCCATTCTCCGTCTCATTTGATACTTACAACTGAACAACTGATGACCGTTAATAAGGTTCCCTGTGGTTAGATTTTGAGACGTTTTTGGAAGTTCTAGACTCTCATGAAATGTGAAACCAGATCCAGAGAACCTCGTGTGTTGACAAGGACTTTTGAGAGTCATAGTGTATAAACCCCACTCTCCCTCAGACTTCGCTGCTGAAAATGACTTGAGCATTACCTGAATTCACTCTGCGTTAGAACACAAACCCATTCTAGGCCATGTGAGAACACAGATTAGAAGGATTTTTTTTTTAAATCTCAGATCATGATATTTTTGTTGCTGTTGTTAATCACCATTTAGTTCCAAATCATAGTAAGGCTGTGAACTGTGGTTCAAACCAACCTTTTGTTCCACTGTTTATCCTACTGTGCCCAAATATAAATACAAATGCACAAACACACGTATCTTTATAGAAACACATCCAATAACTGGGTTAATCCCCTTTAAAACTGGAGGGGAAAAGCAAAACACTAGTATTCCTGATCAGAGCAACGTTAACCTCAGACCACCAAGTAGGGGAAACAGCAGGGGATGTTGTATGACTAGGGGATTTCAAAATGGTCCAGATAAATGAGAATGTTCTTCAAGAAACACAAGAGGAAGTGACTGATGATACATTTCAGAGGCATACAAGAAAATAGCCAGAACTGCAGCCCAGGTGGAAAGGGGCAGCCCCAGTGAGTGTGGCTCTGCGTTTTTTCCTGGAGGCACAGCCACCTGTGGGGCCTCAGAAATCTGCTGAGCAGGAACAAAGGGCCCAGTGACTGCTCATCTCTGTCAAGCTTTCCTGGGGACATCTGAGTTACAGCTAACTCTGACAGCTTGCCCTCGGCATTTTATGTCACAAAAGGAAAGGCAATAAAGGGGTTCTCTCCTAGGCCTCAGGGTTCTGCCTAGAAGCAAGTAGAACTCTTGGCTTCTAAATCCAAATGCAGACCCAGGCAGAACACATGGTGGCTGGAGCAGAATGCCTCTCCTTCCCTGACTCCACTCCTGCCCCTTGCTGCCCTCAGTCCAAGAAATGCATTCACTTGCTGGTTCTCCTTTTTCTTCATCCCTCTCATTTTCCTCTCCCCTCTTCCAATCTTGGAACCCCATCTCCCCCACCCCAACCCCAACTTCCTCAGACAACACTGCCCGGATTCTAACCCGGAGGTCTGGCTTCCGGCAGCAGGAGCAGAGCATCTTCTACCTACCCATCCTGATAGCGGACAACGGGCAGCCAGCGCTGAGCAGCACGGGCACGCTCACTGTCCAGGTGTGCAGCTGTGACGACATGGGCCACGTCATGTCCTGCAGCCCCGAGGCCTACATGCTCCCGGTCAGTCTGAGCCGGGGTGCCCTCATCGCCATCCTGGCCTGCATCTTCATCCTACTGGGTGAGCAAGGGGTTCCTTTCTTGCTATGTGGGCCCAGCCGGTGTTTACAGGGGTCTTCTTCCCAACACAGAGGCTCAGAGCTGGTCCCCATACAGAGTGGGGCTGGGGAAGAACAGAGACACACACCCCTCCCTTCTTTCAAGGGACTCGTGGCTTCTTTGGCAAGGTCAGTGCACACAGTTACAAGCACCTGCCATGGTGGGCTAGGTGCTGGGACCAGACAAGAAGATATGTCACAGTCTTCACAGGAAGTTCACCTGGGCATCCTAGAAACAACATACAACTTGTGACAGGAAATGATGATCTCCTCCATTAATCCCTTCTTTCAGACCAGCGGTAGCTAAATACACACAGGTCAGTGAGCCCAGGGCAGAGCCGGGACTGACACACTGGTAGCCCTGTGTCCAGCAGCACTACCCTCCTCCTAGCTGGTCATTCCCAGGCACTGAAGTCATGAGCTCCTGGCCAGTACAGTGGGAGGGCTACTCTGAGCAATACTACCTGCTCACCACACTGCCCTGACCCCCTGACCACCTGACCCCATCACCACACTGCCCTGACACAGTGACTGGCTACAACACCCATCAGAGCATGAGAAGGGGCAGTTCCTCTCCACTTCTAAAGCCTGTTGACATCATTCCAGACAGAAAAGGCTGCATTAGGCAATGAAGCAACATGTGCATATAGTCAGGTTTGAGAACGCAGGCCGACTCCACCTGAAGTACCACTCCCAGTCCAGTACTTACCTACAGTACTACACCAGGACTCTTGGTGAAGGGTCATCGATCCCTAATGAGAGGAGCTAACCCAGGAGCTGTGTTAACACAATGCCTGTGCGATGGCACAAGTCCAGGTAGTACTCTGTTCTGCTGTGCACACGGTCACTATGAGTCGGAACCAAGTGCATGGAGCCTAACAACAACAGTCAGGAAACCCTGATTAGGGTCTCCAAGGTGCAGCTAATGGATTTGAACCACCAACCTTGTGATTAGCACTGAAAGTCTAAGTTCCCAGAAAGAAAAATAGCAAAGCATTTGGATATTCAATTAGAATAGACGCTATCCATGTGTGTCACCAAGAGATTGATTGAAACTAAAAAATGAAGCGCCTGAGAAAATCAAATGCCAACAATTGGAAGGCTTTTTAGGTGGGCCTGTGACATATACTTCTAAAAAAAGGTTAAAATAGGAGATGTGGTTTCAGTTTGGTGTTTTGGGTCAGTTCTACATGAAAGGGAAAGTACTGTCCTGAATGTCCATGTTGACAAAAGAAAGCCTTACTGCAGTTCTGTGAGTGTCCCCAAGGTGGCACTGGGAGCCCTTAAATGCCATGTAAACCTGAGAGAGGACTGTACAGAAACTGGCTCCAAGGAGAAATTCCCAGACTGTCTTTGCCTTTTCTAAACACCTATATGACAAGTTCATCCCAGTCCCCCAAAATTAGAAGGTGCCATCATTACAGAAGAACTGCTTTAAAGAGGATGGCTCCCACAAGGAAGTAGTATGCAAGGAACAATTATTACATCGCTCCCCAGCCCATGTGTTATGTCTTTTGAATTGTACCAAGTAAAGTTTTCAGGAGCTAAATGAAACAGGGCTATTGTAAAATCCTCAAAAGATTCAAGCACTCACATTCTAGACCCCAACCACAATTGAGCAGGCCTATTGGAATGCATGCCCATCCCACACTAAACACAATTCATAAAGCTGTGAAAGGTGTGGATTGCAGTTAACAAAATACTATAGTTTTGTTGAACAATGAAACACCACTTAATTCTGATTTTGCAGTGGGTTTTTCAGGTCTCAAACATGTATCTACTTTCTAGAAAATCTTAGGCCCTCCACACTGTGCTTATACTGTTGTTGGAAAGTGGAGTCAATTCTGACTCATAGGGACCGTTTTAGGCTATAACTCTGTATGGGAGAAGAAAGCCTCCTCTTTCTCCACGACTGTGCCCATGGTGTTTTGTGAGGTGCTGTTGGATCAGCCTTTGGAGCAGTTCTACTCTGGGTATGGGTCACTATGAGTTGGGTCACTGTCACTTGAAGGCAGTGGGTTTGGGTTTGGGGGCCGTATCCCTATGATTAAGTTACCCTGTATCGGGTGTCCGAGGAACAGCTGGTCAATTGGAACTGCCGACCTTGTGGTTCAAACCAACCTTGAGGTTAAGTGCTTCTTCCACAGCGCCACACCTGGCTGGTATTGTTAGTGTACCTACTATCTACTTAGACTGCAAGATCCTAAGAGAAGAAACTGTCGTATTGAACCGTGTATTCAACCATTCTCTACCATGATGGTGGTGGTGTTAGGTGCTGTTGAGATGGTGGTTCCAACTCACAGTGACCCTATAGGGTTTTCAAGGCTGTAAATCTTTACAGAAGCATTAAGCTTCATTTTTCTCCCGTGGAGTGGCTAGTAGTTTTGAAGTGCTAACTTTGTATTTAACAATCCAGTACTTATCCTCTAGCACCACCATAGTGCCTAATAAGATCAGGATTTAGTAAACACTGACTGAATCTCACATGCACACAGCATGTTCACTTCAAATCCCATTTCTCCAATCAACCTCCATCCAAATTTGAGTCCAGCTTCCCATGCTCAAGTCAAGTCCCTATCCCTGACAGCCTATCAGCCTCTCTGAAACCCTACTCCTTGTAGGCCACACCTATTTTTACACATACAAAAAAATATAAAATCCACTGGCATCAAGTCAATTTCAACTAACAGCAGCCCTCTCCAGGGTTTCCAAGACTGTAAATCTTTCCTGGATCAGACAGCCTCATCGTTTTCCCTCAGCAGCAGGTGGGACTGAACCATCGACCTTGAGGTTAGCAGCCCAGTGCTTATCCCACAGCACCACCAAAACTCTTTAGAGAAAATACAAAAGAATATATAATTGTGTCCTGTATACACAACTTGTCTCCCAAACTAGTCGGAGAAATATTGACTATTAACAGCATTAATTGCCATTTACAAAAAGCTCATTCTACATTCAAATGTTTCCAAAAATCATTTTTGTCAGTTTTATGAGTCAGTCCTTAATCTGCTGGTGGGCTCATGGCTGGACTCATTTTTCTCCCCTTGGATAAACTGGCTCTTACTCTGCAGTGTTGTCAAGCTGTCACTGTTCAACAGCTGTAACAAAGCACACCAGAAGAAAAAAAAAAAAAAAAATCAATAGTTGTTCCAAGGATCCAACCTCCACAAGCTTCCTGGGAAACGTTTTCAGTCACAGAGACAAACAGCTCAGTGGGATTATGGTGCTCTCTCCTTTAAACCCCAGCGAACACATCCTGGGGAGAAATGCATTTGTTGGAATCAAATTTTATTCCAAACCTCTAAGGGCACATCTAGCAGCATGGAGCTTCTTGGATAACATGATGGATTATCTCAAAGGTCGCTGCTCAGTCCCTCCCTTGCCTGGGCACCACTGGATCGAGGCAGTCACAAGCCTCTCTCCCATGGACAGCTTTTCGAGTCTGAGGCTGCTGGGCAGGGGTCATTCCTGCTCGCTTTTCTATTTTGGAGAAGGTCTAGAAGGACTATACCTTTGGCTCTGCTTTAGCACCTGAGTCAATGTGCAGATGCCCTAGAACGTGGTACTTCCGGCGGAGACTCTGGTTACCATCTGACGTCATGAAGCAGGCTGCACCTAGAGAAGACATCCTGAAGCATGGGGCTCCTAGGGAGGAGACTGACGTCATGAAGTGGGCGGCTCCCAGGGAGGATGCTTTCCATGTTAGAGTCGGAGCGAGCGGGGCTCACTCCTCCGCAGGCTGCAGGGCTTAGTTGTCGGGCTGGGGCTGGACGTTGGGGTGCGCGCGCACACACACACGGTTTCAATGAGGCGCGCTGGTGCAGAGAGACTCGGAACCACACTAAACTAGTAAGGGATCCCTTCCCTAGCCCGGGTCTTGTTCCGGTGGCTTCCTCCCAGGGGCCCCGGCAGGTGCCTAATGGCCGTCTCTCCCCTGTCGCCCCCAGTGCTGGTGTTGCTCATCCTGTCCATGCGGCGCCACCGGAAGCAGCCGTACATCATCGACGACGACGAGAACATCCACGAGAACATCGTGCGCTACGACGACGAGGGCGGCGGCGAGGAGGACACCGAGGCCTTCGACATCGCCGCCATGTGGAACCCCAGGGAGGCGCAGGCCGGCGCCAAGACGAGGCAAGACATGCTGCCCGAGATTGAGAGCCTGTCCCGCTACGTGCCTCAGACGTGCGCCGTGAGCAGCACCGTCCACAGCTATGTGCTGGCCAAACTCTACGAGGCCGACATGGACCTGTGGGCGCCGCCCTTCGACTCCCTGCAGACGTATATGTTCGAGGGCGACGGCTCTGTGGCGGGCTCGCTGAGCTCCCTGCAGTCAGCAGCCTCAGACTCAGAGCAGAGCTTCGACTTCCTCACGGACTGGGGGCCCCGCTTCCGGAAGCTGGCGGAGCTGTACGGGGCTGCGGAGGGGCCACCGCCCTTGTGGTGACGGAAGGCGGGGAGGCAGGCGCTCCTTCTCAGGCACGTGCTCAGCAGATGCTGCGCAGCCGCGGTGCAGCCAACCCACACGAGCAATACTGTGCTGGAGAGTCCGATTGGGGTGAGCGGGTCGAGAAGGGCTCTCTCTGGATCAGCTTTACTTGGTTAGGATAAGTTAAAGAATCAAAAGGAAACTCAGAAAGAGGAGGGGAAATATCCAATTCCCTTTTTTTTATTTTCATGACCGTGTTTTCAAAGACTTGGAGTCCAAGGTATTAGGGCACGTTAGGTTTTCCTTTGCCAGTCCCCAGACCTTTGCCCTTTGCCACCACAAAGAGGCTCAGATTCTAAATGCAAAGGTGGAAATAGACAGGCCCACATTCATCGTACAGGTATTTCTCACCATTTTAACAGTTTCACTGGCTCATCAGACCCCAGAAACCAACCCCCACAAAAAAACAAAAATTGTACCTGAGATTAATCTATTTGTTTTGGGAAGGGTGGAATTTCTTTTAACCCTTTTGACAGAAGGTTAAGACAGAATCCGCCTTGCATGGGGCCGAGGGGTGGGAGGGTGAAGGAAGGAAGAGACATTGACTTTGTGCTCAAGTTTGATGGCTGAACCAAGAGTTGTTGGCATTACAACTAATGCCGTTCCACCTTAGAGTGCTCTTGCTGTCCTCTCAGCTCTTCAACTGTGCGCTTGACAAATTGTTCAGAATGAAACCGGAAAATCTGCCTCTTTTGCTGTGTAGATGTCTCTTCCATGTGCCAAATGGGAAGATTAGATGCTACCAATGAAAGCCAAATAAAAAGAAGTGTCTGATAAAAGCATGGGTTAGAGGGTTTTCCTAATCTGTGTGAGGTCAAACCCAAGGGATGTTTACATGCTGTAGATAACCTACTTGAACAAAAATCAGTATTATAGAGAAGAAATGGATGTAAGAAAATTACATGTATAAGTTTTGTATATTTGTTAATAATTTTGGTAATAAAGATGATGTACTGCATCTCAGTACCTTAGCATTTCTTTTAATAAAAGTGAAATAGAAGGGAAAGTCTGTGGCCAGTTTGTTTAATTGTTAACCTTGACGTTTTGTGAAGCTGTTCTAGCCTTGATTGCGTTCCGAGGCTCAGACTGATTCATAAGGCCAGAGCAATGGCCAAGAAACATGAAGCTGAACATTAGCTTTCCTTCACCAACTAGATGAAGATGATGATTTAAAATGCTAAATTGTCATCAAACACTCTCATCTTCGAAAAGAGGTGATGGATGGTCTAATGACATCAACAATTCAACAGTGATTTTGCACTTGGTATTACCCAGAGCCATCAAGGAGGCAAGCCAAAAATTGTTCAGCTCATCCACGTGTTTTGAACTCCCAGAAGGCCGAGACCATTTTTTTTTTCTTTCATCTTTCCTTTTCCCACAGCAGCTGCCATGTTGCTGTTAAATACCATCCAGCCAGTTCTGACTCACAGCTACCATGTAAAGAGCACACTGGTGAGTTGCAACAGCCAACGTTACCATTCAAACCAACCTTGCAGTCAAGTGCTTATCTTGCAGTGTCTCATACATGGTCCTTTGCAGAGTTGCTTGTCTCAGTTCTCTAGTGCTGACATAACAGAAATCCCGCAAGTGTATGATGATGGCTTTGTTGTTGTTGTTATGTGCCGTGGAGTCAGTCCCGACTCATAGTGATCCTGTCCAGGGTTTCCGAGGCTGTAAATCTTTATGGGAGCAGAAAGTCTCATCTTTCTCCCGTGGAACAGCTGGTAGTTTCGAACTGCTGACCTTGTGATTCGCAGCCCGATTCGTAACCACTACACTACCAGAACTCCTTAGCAAACAGAAATGGATTCTTTCCCAGTTGAGTCTAGAAGTCCAAATTCAGAGCACTGACTCCGGAGAAAACGCCTTGTAAACTCCTTTCAGCATCTCTAGGTCCCGCATCTGTTGGCATCAGTCTTTCTCTGGATCTAGGAGGTTCACAGTGCAGGGACCCCAGGTCCATCCAAAGCGTAAACTCCATTTCTGCTCTTCCGTCTTGGCAGTAATAGGAACCTCTTTCTCTGCTCTCTTCTCTCTCCTTTTATAATTCAAAAGAGATTAGCTCGGCATACAGCCTAATCATGTAGATGGCATATGACCTCACATCATCGAAGTGAGGAGTTCCAATACATTGTATCATCACATCACATCAAGGCTGATGGCATCATTTCATGGGATTGATTGTATAATATCAGATCATGGAGGTGATAACTACATCTTAACTGTTTAACCACTGAGAATCCTGACCCAGGCAAGTTGACACAGACCCTTAACACAGTGCTTACTAAGTATTTAGTGGCTAGATGATGGAAAGGATTCCCTCCTTTGACATTTAATTGCTAAAAGATAATTTGCAAAGTGAAAGCAAATTGGGAATCAAATACTGATTTTCTGGGTCTTGTGGTGTACAGCAGTGCTTCTCAAAATTGTATGTATATTACAATCACTTGGAGGGTTTGTTGAACTAAAGCTTGTTGGGCTCCACACCCCAGTTTCTGACTGAGTATATCTGGATACACTTGCATTTCATACAGATCCCCATGTGATGCTGATGTTGCTGATTTAGGGACTACACTGAGAATTTCTGGTATAGAGTTAGTCAGTGCCTATTTCTCTGTATCAGTGGGGAATGTTTGGCCAGAGGGCCATATGTTGTTGTGGTTAAGTGTTGTCAAGTCAGCTCCGATCCCATAGCAACCCAGTATAGGGTTTCTGAGGAGCGGCTGGTGAGCTGGAACCACTGGCTTTGCTATTCAAACTGACTTTAACCCACAGCACCACACCAAATGTTTGAACAAATATACCAGGCTAACTTTTAAGTTAATTATTTTGTATGGCCCATGAATGATGTTATAAACGTTGGCAGAAAAAAAGATCCCCACCCTTGCTAACGTATGCAGATTAGATTCATTACTAGCCCACTTGCATCAGGGCCCCCAAACCCTTTCCTCCTGCTGAGAAGCAGCACTCACATACCTTCTTTGAGGGCACAGTGTGATGCAAACAATGCACTTAGCAAAACAAAGGAAAAGGTAGGAATGTTAAGTCCAAACTAGACTGTACAACACACCCAGGATGTCAGTGTGGGCAGATTCATCTCTGTAGCTTTTTCCTTTCTACCATGGCTGCTGCTGCTGCATGTCATCAAGTCGGTTCCAACTAACAGTGTCAACACTGTAACTCTTGACAGGAGCAGAAATTCGTCTCTTTCTCATGCAGAGAAGATGGTGGGTTCAAACTGCAGACCTTGTGGTTAGCAGCCCAGTGCATAACCCACTATGCCACTAAGGGTCCTATTTCCACCACTAGTCCTGAGGGAAGGGCTGTGACTATTTCGCTTTGTGTCACATGTCTTACAGCTGGGAACATCTGTTATACTATCCATGGGGGTTATCATGCCCCATATCCTCCAGAAATTGTCCTGGGGGTACTGGGCATGAAGTGATTAAACACCATGTCCCAGGGCTTCTGGTTCCTGGAAGGGTGTTTAATGGTATGATACAGGAAGTGGGAGTGAAGCCCAGACGAACAGATCCATTTTCAGCTCACACTCAAAGCTAACAGAGACTGCCCCACTCCAAATGGGGTCTCACATTCCCTTCCTGTTGCCTCAGTTTGCCACATCACCACCTCAGAAAAGAAAACATCACCACCACCAGACATATTGCAGATGGAAGGGCCAGGTGACACATGAGAGCTGCTCATTTTTTAGCCATTTTTGTTGCTGTTAACAGGTGAAGCAGCTAGCCTGTTAATTTATATGTTGAAGGGAAATAGAAGCATCTGTAGAAAGCAGTTGATATGACAGTCTGGAACTGCATTCTGAGCAAGAACACAAGCAAAGATAAAAACTAACAATGCACTTTCTGAATCAAAAAAGCAGAATAACCCAACATAGAGTATTTCAAAGGTAAGAAGGGGATGGTTCATACTGAAAAGAATGTATGAATCCTGAAAGCATAAATCAGACGCATCAAAATCCCTGCAGGCACACTGACTAAAGGCTGCCATGCGTTCACCTGTGACAAGAACAGACCTTGATGTCAGAATTCAGAATGCATCCTTTATCGTGCTGAAACCACATGAATACAAGCTGTTGTTAAGTGCCATTGAGTCAGTTCCAACTCATAGCAACCATGAATAGGGTTTCTGAGGAGTGACTAGTGTGTTTGAACCATCGACCTTAATTAGCAGTCCAGTATGTGTCCTGCACCACACCAGAACAACCTGAATACACGAGCTTAATTAAGGTCGGTGGTTGTTGGTGGGAAGTGCAGTTGAGTGACTTCCAACTCATAGCGACCCTGTATAGGGTTTTTGAGGAGAGTCTAGTGGGTTTGAACTGCCTGTTGTTATTGTTGATGTTAGGTGCCATCGAGTCGGTACTGACTCATAGTGACCTTATGCACATAAGAACAAAACACTGCCCGATCCTGGGCCAACCTCACTATTGTTGCCACACTTGAGTCCATCGATGCTGCCACTTGGCCAATCCATCTCGTTGGGGATCTTCCTCTTTTCCTCTGACTCTCCACCTTACCAAACATGATAGCCTTCTCCAGTGACTGGTCCCTCCTAACAATATGTCCAAAGTATGAGAGATGAAGTTTGGCCATCTTGGCCTCCAAGGAGTACTCTGGTTGCACTTCTTCCAAAACGTATCTATTGATTCTTTTGGCAGCTTATGGCA